CCCTATCCACAAATATTTTGAAACCTCTCTCTTCCCTACCCCATCAGGCTGGTGCTGCCATCCTGGGCACTTCATGTTGTTCCTGTTTCACTGATATTTGAAGTGAAATGTTGTCTTTGCATTTTCATGGTGAGACTGGATGAAAATGAAAGCCAGGAAAGGAACGGTGGCAAACTTCATCATTACTGTTGTTCTGATTGTTTTTGGTAATAATCCTGTGAGCAGATTATGAAGTGGTAGGGTCATTTCCTTAGCATGTGGGCTTACTGGGCCACAGCCTTGACCTTTTGCTTCAGAGTTCCATGTCAGTTTGGGCTGTGAGTGTGTTTGCACACAGAGCGGAAACACGCACTGTAGTTACTTGAGTGCCTCTGGCCTTTCTCACCCTCCTCCCTGGTGCCTGTCGGTATTGAAGAACACCGGATTATTCTGCTGGCTACGGAGGCAATTCCTAACCTGCTGGAAGGCCATGCCAAGGCCCGGAACTGGGCTGCTGTGCACCTGCTCCTGGTCAGAGCTTTGTGTGCCAGCCAAGCATGGGGCAGGACGGGCATCACCCCGAGGGGCTGTGATTTTTTTCTTTGACTCTGTTGAAAAGTCAGATCTTCCTTGAATAGCAGCAATTCTCTAAGCACGTGAGACTGCCCCAGAGTGGAAATTAGGTTTGTGTGTTCCTGACTACTGAAAACACCTATCCGTTTTCAGGTGATGTAAATAAAACAGCAAGCGACCCAGAAAGCCACATAAGTGGGCTTTGTCAGGTGTGGAGCTGTTAAGATAGATTTTACTTTCTTTTTGGAAATCAAGTTGCAAATGGATAAGCTTGTATGTGTTTGTGGAATGCCCCGTGTGTCCTGCTATGTTGCGGCAACAAATGGTCAACTCGGGATCCTATGGAGATGATCATCTCAGACACTTTTTCCCCTCTTGATGATGAGAGCATTCAGAATCCTCTCTTCTGGTTATTTTAATTTATTGAATTAGAAAAGGGAGGGGTGGGACATGTGTTGTGGTGGTGTGGGTTTAGCTGCTGCTTGGGACACATTTGCATCTCCTATCAGCTTATCTTGGATGGAATCCCACCTCTGCCTTTTGATCGAGCTTCCCACTAACGCGCTTGGGGAGCAGATGATGGCTCGAGCACGTGAGTCGCCCCACACACATGGCATCTCTGGATGGAGTTCCTGGCTCCTGACTCCTCATTCCTCGCTACCTGGAGGATGAACCCGCTGGTGGAAGCTTGTTTTCTCTCTGTCACTCTCTTTCAAATAAATAAGACTTTATCAGCAAAAATAGAAAGAAAAGTCAGATTCTTTAAACCAGAAGGGAAGTCTTTGTCTTCTCCTGTGCTCAGGTGTATACTCTAAATCCTGGAGGGTGGGTGGGGCTCACAGAAAACCCATGCTTTGATCATGGCTTCAAAGCATTTGAGAAGAGCGAGGGGCCTACACTTGTTGATGCTGTGAAGACCCATTGCTGCTACTCCAGGAAGCACTCTGTGTAGCAGGTGCAGCAAGGAGAGCTGGAGGGGTACAGTTCAGTCAATGATGTCATCTGAGTTTAAAACTGTTGCTGACCGTGCAAGTGTCTGGGAGGAGAATGTCTACACCTTGTACCATACTACCATACTTTTTCTGCCAGTGCAGTGCAAACAGTCAGCACAGGCAGAAGTGGGCGAGTAGCCACAGTGTTTACGTGATGGGACCGTGCATGCACCTGTGCAAACCAAAGGTAAGGTCTGTGCTCCCAGTGAGCAGTTCTCACATGTCAGGAATGGCGGGACATGATAGCAGTAGTGTTTGGCGGGATGCCATGGTCCTGACACACCATCACCCTCCACCCCTGCCAACCCTTGCCAAACTTGAGCTGGTAGAAATGGTCAGGTGCAGAGGTGGGTGTGTGGGGAACAGAACATTCCAGGCAGCCTTGGAGTCCTCTGACTGGGTGTGAGTTGTGATGCGTGACCACTTGTCAGAGTATTTTGGTGGAAGATAGGTGACAGTGGTTTTCAGTTTTTAGGAAACATTAGCACTTGTTATTTCCATCACCTTACACAAGGTAACAGAGTTGCTGGAGGCACTTGCCTCTAAGCTTGTCCTAACTCAGTGCTCTCTGGCACTTGGTAGATTTGTTCTGTTTCCTCTGTGTATTTTGGGTTGTTGCTGGTAGCTCTCCTGCACCCCAGCTCTGCTCCTCTCACTGGCCCGCTTGCAGAGGTCTGAGTCTGGCACAGCCCAGTTCCAGTCCTGGTTCTTCCATTAGTGGCTGTGGGCCCTAGGGACCAAGGTTCTTAACTTGGCTATATCTCATTTTTCACCATGAAATGGCGCTATCTTCTTCATAGATTAAGTGAATTAGGTGACATGATATATTGAATTTATTTATATGCTTGTATGGTTCTTGGTAGAATAGGGTCAGTCTTTATTTAATTATTTATTTTTAAAAGATTTGTATATTTTTATTGGAAAGTCAGATTCACAGAGAGAAGGAGTGACAGAGAGAAAGATCTTCTAACCACTGGTTTACTCCCTAAGTAGCTGCAATAGGCGGAGCGAAGATGAGCCAAACTTAAGCCAGGGGCTTCTTTCAAGTTTTCCATTCAGATGCAGGGGCCAACCTCTGCTGCTTTCCCAGGCCATAAGCAGGGAGCTGGAAGGAAAGTGGAGCAGCGAGGATACGAACTGGCGTCCATATGGACTCTTGGCACATACAAAGTGAGGACATTAGCCAGTAAGGTATTGCACTAGGCCACAGTCTTTTATTATTATTTTTTTATACACGTGGACACATCATGTATGTGTTTTGTGTCTATGTGTATATATCTACACTTACAGAAATAAAGTTTTATCCTTTTAACCTTTTTGGCATGAGAGAAATTCTAATTTTATCTTGGGTAACCATAAGCCACTTTTAAAGTACTTGTGCAGAATCAGGCGTGATAATTTGCAGCCTGGAATTAGTGATGTGTGAAGGGAGATGGAGGACTTTAGTTCAAAGATATGGGATTAACCATGATAATGTCGATGTTGACAGGATCCTGTTACTAAGGAATCTGCTGATTGGTTTTTCTGGCTGTAGCTTGTTTGAACTTTTGAAGTATGTGTTATTAGATAAAGGATGTTATTTTTTTTAATGATACCACTTTCAAGCTGCCTGTAGTGTCCTAATCTGGCTACAATAAACATCCTGGTTTTTTAAAAATATATTTATTTATCTATCTATTTTTAGTGGAAAAGCAGATTTACAGAGAGAAGGAGATACAGAGAAAAAAAAAATCTTCCATCCTCTGGTTCACTTCCCAAATGGCCATAATGGCTGGAGCTGAGCCAATCCAAAGCCAAGAGCTTCTCCCTCATCTCCCATGTGGGTGCGGGGTCCCAAGGGCTTGGACCATCTTCCATAGCTTTCCCAGGCCACAAGCAGGGAGATGGATGGAAAGTAGAGCAGCCAGGAGGACATGAACTGGTACCCATTTGGGGTTCTGGCATTTGCAGGGGGAGGATTTAGCCAATTGAGCCATTGCACTGGCCCCTACAATAATCTTATGGGATAAAATTTGTATTTTAGTCCTTTCAGGGGAAAAATCAAGAAAAAAATGTTAAGTAAGTTTCCTGTTTTTCTTAGTTTAGATCACTCAGAAAGTTCAATCTTTATAAACTTGTTTAAAAAGCTAGAATTAAAAAATAATAACCTTTAACATTTGTAATTCTGTTATCAGTGTGAAAAATGTTTAAAATCCTAGCAAGAATCTGTACATTGAGGCTTTCTTTGAATTGAAAATAAACAGTGGGGCCCGGCGCGGTGGCGCAAGTGGTTAAGGTCCTCGCCTAGCATGCCCGGGATCCCATATGGGTGCCGGTTCTAATCCCGGCAGCCCCGCTTCCCTTCCAGCTCCCTGCCTGTGGCCTGGGAAAGCAGCAGAGGACGGCCCAAAGCTTTGGGAACCTGCACCCGCGTGGGAGACCCGGAAGAGGCTCCTGGCTTCGGACCGGCATAGTATCGGCCCGTTGCGCTCACTTGGGGAGTGAATCATCGGATGGAAGATCTTCCTCTCTGTCTCTCCTCTCTGTATATCCGCCTTTCCAATGAAAAAATAATAAAAATAAATCTTTAAAAAAAAAAAAAAAGAAAATAAACAGTGTATTGAAGACAGTCAAGTGTATCCTTGACTGCGTGGATATGTGTGCAGTGTTCTGTGTTCAGCACACGTGTGTCACAGTGCTGGCAAGTCCTAGGTCTTCAGTGTGTATTAACCTTCAAGGTTGCTTTGAGAAGTTGCAATTTGGTGTTTTTTGCCTAGGTAGGTAGAAAGCCTTTTATGAAGATTTTAAGCCCTATTTTGTTTTAAATGTATGCACATTTTAAACTCAACAAAATTTCAGTTTAATGTCTGAATTTATATATCTCAGGTAGAGCCCCTTGGTTTGATTTACAAATCATGTCATGGCCAGCTCATGCATTGAAATTGTTGTGGCCATTTCCCCCTCCCCCATAAAAGTGATTCCTGTGTTTTTCAAATAACTGAAGTGATAAGAAATTGGAGTGGGATGGAGAGATGGGATTAACTCCTAATTAGTTTTTTATTTTGAAGAAGATTTATCAGTTGTGGAGATTTCTGTTAATATACAGCCATTCATGATCTTGTTAGTACATATTAAAGTTGATTTGCTTCCATAATTTGCAAGCATGCCTCTTGTAATTCCTCCTCTCTGCACTAAATCTAAATGCACAAGTAGCAATCTTGAAGCTCGACTTGAAGCTGACATTCTGTTGGGCTCATGCATTCCCGTGAATATGACTGCATGGTGTATATTCTTTTACAGGAGAAATAATTTTCTATTGAATGTATAATTTTGCAGCGTGTTCTTGGGCTTACAATGAATCATAGCAGTGTCATTGGATTGAAATATGTATAATCATTGTGAGGTGTAACCAAGGTTCTTTGCATATTAGCACATCCTTCGTAGGACCAATGTTGTTTCCCCCTTTGGTTTGTCTAGAAGACTTGCACTGTCTGCCAGATGCTGCTTCCTAACCAGTGCAGTTATGCTTCACACCAGAGAATCCATCAGCACAAATCTCCCTACACCTGCCCTGAATGCGGGGCCATCTGCAGGTCTGTGCACTTCCAGACGCACGTCACCAAGAACTGCCTGCACTACACGCGAAGAGTTGGTTTCCGGTCAGTATATTGTTCACTTTTGTGTCGATAATGCGTGCTCCATGGTGGCTAGACAGTGTTTGGGGTGGTATGCGCACAGCTGCTACAGTGATGCCTCTATTAGCAGATCCTCCCAGCAGCCTCCTGGCTTTGTGTTCTGGCCCTGCTGACCCACATGGGCTCCAGTATAAGCGGGCACACATGGTAGCACATTTTTCTTACCATCCTCCCTGCATGGCTTTTTAACAATATTTGTTTCTTTGTTTTGAAGCTCAGCATTACAGAGAGAAAAGGAGAAACACAGGAGAAATCTTCTATCCACTGGTTGCTCCCTAGATGTCTGCAATGGCCAGTGCTAGGCCAGGCCAAAGTCAGGAGCCAGGAGCTTCGTCCAGGTCTCCCACATGGAGGACAGGGGCCCAAGCACTTGGACCCTCTTCTGTGGCTTTTCCCAGGCCATCAGCAGGCAGCTGGGTAGGAAGTGGAACAACCAGGACTTGAACTGGCACTTGTTTGGAATGTCATTGCACACAGCAGCTTTACCTGTTGTGCCATTCCCTGTATTTCCATGTCACTGAGTACTTGCTGCCCGCTGGGCAAATAGGAATAGTTCACTGATCTGTTTCTCTTCTCTTGTCCCCACTGAAGGGTACAGGTGTGCGTCTTCTTCTGACCTGGCTTCTTCACCCACCATCCCAATCCTCTTTCATCTGAGCTCTGGATTCTCCTTGGTTGCCCTCACAAACTTTTTTTTGGGATTTATTTGTTTTTATTCAAAAGACAGATTTACAGATAGGAGAAACAAAAATCTTTCATTTGCTGGTTCTCTCCCCAAGTGGATAAAATGGCTGGAGCTGAGCTAATCTGAAGCCAGGAGGACCCAGGAACCTTTTCTGGTTCTCACACATGCTGCTAGGTCTTAAGCCTTTGGCCATCTTCTACTGCTTTCCCAGGCCACAAAGCAAGGAGCTGGATGGGAAGTGGAGCATCCGGGATATGAGCCTGTGTCCATATGGGATCCCAGTGCTTCCAGGGTGAGCCATTGTGCCAGACTCTAGGACAGTAGTCTTAATTTCATTTTCCATTTAGGCCTGATATGATAGCCTAATAGCTAATCCCTTGCCTTGCATATGCTAGAAGTCTATATGGGTGCTGGTTCATGTCCCGGCTTCTCCCTTTCCCATCTAGCTCCCTGCTTGTGGCCTGGAACTAGCAGTGGAAGATGGTCCAAGGCCTTGGGACCCTGCACCTGCAGGAAGGACCCAGAGAAGCTCCTGACTCCTGGTTCCTGGCTTTGAATTAACTCAGTTCTGGCCTTTGCCGCCACTTGGGGAATAAACTAGCAGATGAAACATATTTCTTTCTCTCCTTCTTTCTGTAAATCTGACTTTCCAGTAAAAATAAAACAATTTTTAGAAATTATTTTTATTTTCCACTTTATGATTTTCTTTACTCAGTCCAGTGTGTTTTAAATCTTGACCCAATAAAGAAGATTCTTCCCCTAAACCAGAAACGCAGTGTCTGTTAATAGAGGTATCACTGTAACTTGGTAACTTTAATATTAGACTCTTACAGTGATTTATTTTAAAGTTTTGATATGGTTTTGATGTTTTTATAAGAATGATATTTACAATGGTTGACCTGATTTAATGGTTGTATTTCCTTGAAATTTAGCCATGGTGTCAGTCACTTCTTACTGGGTGGCTCTTTCATTTTTCTTCACACCAAAATGTCGGACCTGACTGCATTTTGATTTTGTGCCTCTAAATCTGTGATGCACAAGCATTTCTTGCTTTGGGAATTTATCCTTGTAGGGGACTCTGGATTTCAAAATCACTAAGCTAGAGTTTTGTTTTTTTTTTTTTTTAAAGATTTTTTTATTTTTATGACAAAGATATACAGAGAGGATTCCCTCCAATGATTCACTCCCCACGTGACCCCAACGGCTGGTGTCATGCCGATCTGAAGCCAGGAGCCAGGAAATTCCTCCAGGTCTCCCACACGGGTGCAGGGTCTCAAGGCTTTGGGCCATCCTCAACTGCTTTCCCAGGCCACAAGCAGGGAGCTGGAAGGGAAGTAGAGCTGCTGGTATTGGAACCAGCACCCATATGGGATCCCGGCGCATTCAAAGCGAGATCTTTAGCCACTAGGCCACGCTGTACGGCCTTAGGCTAGAGTTTTTGTACCAGTCCTGCCAGTGGTTAATGTGCAGTTGTTCCTGTACCCTGTCTGTGCTGTGGCACCTTGGTCTGTGAATGTGGCACATTGCCAGCCTGCAGCTGTCACAGGATGCTGCAGGGAAAGCCAGAGGGAGCTGTGCGGGCCACGGCCGAGCCCCAGGCCATCACAGTGTCAGGGAGTCACTCTAACGCACAGTGGTTCGGCCATATTCTCACGCAGGCTTTTCAGTGATGTCACATGGTTCTCAAATGCTTACTTCATTTTTCTAATGTAGTGAAAGTGCATTCCAACTTTGATGGAAATGAACAATTCCTGCTATGTTTTAAAAACAACTTAAATCAGAAGCTTTGCACAGAAAATAAAAAGAAAGCAAAGCAAAACACAACAACCCTTCCACTTTTTCTTCCCCAGTTTTTTTCTTTTTACAGTTACTAGATTTTCATGCCTTGTAGATTTTCCAACTAAAAGTTCTGTGGTAAGTACAGATTCCCCTGCTGGATTTTAGGCTTTGTGAACTGTAAAAATATTGGGTTTGTTTCTTAAGAAGCTTAGTTCAAGTTGACCTCTTACTTTTATATCATTTTTTTCCTGCTGTTTTCAGTGATGGTGCAGTCTGGTATAGGCTAGCGTTTGGCCTTAACCCTGCCCTGCTAGTCCCGCTGTTTTGATTGTATCTTACCAAAGCTGGAGGAGTCTGTGGCATGGCTACCTTGCCAGTCCTGTTTCTTTTGGATAAAGCATTCCAGCCCCCCTTCTCTTGCTCTTACTGGCTCCTCCTAGGACTGGTGGTCATCCCTCAGTTTCCTCGCTCGTGGCTAAAACACTGGTGTTGATAAAAGTCAAGTGCTTTTCTGAATTTCTCTTACTCCTAATACATTCGTTGCGTCTGCATCTAGAAAGGGAAATTATTATAGGATTGGGTGCTGCAAACATTTTCCCTAAAAATATATTTTTGCCTAAAAGGAGACGAGCTTGTTTGGAACTGAGAGTCCATAGGACTTGGGGTTTGTCTGGTGTTCTGCAGACTGGGTCTCCAGTGGTGCTGAGAGCTGCCTGCAGCCTCCAATTCTATCTTGTGTCCCCTGGCTCCCACACATTTGGACCCTTTTCCTCTCCCCAGGTTCTTTTCAAAGAGTCCATGTCATGCAGGAGTCCTTTAAGCTACCCCTTGCCATGCTTGCTGCTGCGCATCTGGATAGGAAGCAGATTTCCCAAGTGCTGGGGTCCTGCTGTTTTGGTGGAGTTCCTTGCTTTTGGGCTTTCCCTCGCTCACACCTGGCTGTTGCAGGCACTTTCAGGGGTGAATCAGAGGATGGAAGGTCTCTGGCTCTGTGTCTTGCTCTGCCTTTCAAATACATAAATAGAAAAGTCCTGTAAAAAGCCAGGAGCCTCTTTGCCTCTCACATCCGGGAGGGTGCTCGCTGCTCTGTGTTAGACTGCTGCTTCCCAGTTCCCCTGAGGAGCAAGCCACGCTGCCACTCCTAGTGTTACCAGGAAGTGGTTGCTGGTCTCCTGGCTCTGGTCCTCCTTCCCATGACTGTAACTGCATGCCTGACGCGGGGCCAGGCATAAAGAAAAGGTATTTGTTTTAGTTCCAGGTTCGGGAGGTCCAGCGGAGGAGGGCTGTCCGACCTCCCACTGGTGGGGACTATCTCAGCTCTCTCCTTCCTCTGATTAGGATCCTGGGCACCTGCCTGCCTGAGCTCCCAAGGGCCCTGCCTACACCTACTGGCAACACAAGGATTTGGGCTTGAAGATTCTACATGAGTTTTAGGGTATACACATACACGGGCAGTAGTACTTAGGTTTTTTTTTTTTTTAATAAATAAATAAATAAATAGAAATAAGTAAGTAACAGAGAAAAAGGAAGAGCAAGAGAGAGAAAAGAGATCAGACCCAGTAACCAGACCTGGGCATGACTGAAGCCAGGAACCCAGAGCTCCATCTGTGTGTGCCTTGTGGCTAAAGGATCCCAGGCTCCTGGGCCATTGCAGGCACAGGGGCAAGCAACTGCATTGGGAGTGCAGTATCTGGGACTTGAACTGGCACACTTGTAATGGCAAGCAGCTGCTTAACCCACTGTGCTATGTGCCATCCCATATCTTTTGCCTTATGAAGGTGGTGGTAAACTTTTCTACTCCTTTTTTTTTTTTTTTCCATTTTTCTTTTCGCTCTCTATTTTTTTTAAGGGATTGATTCCACCCCCTCCTACACCTCCCCGAAAGGAAGGTTTACAGGAAAGAGACAGAGACCTTCCATTTCCTGGTTCACTACCCAAATGGCCACAGCAGCCAGGCTGAAGCCAGGAGTCTGGGTGGCAGGGCCCCAAGCACTCCAGCTCTCTGCTCCAGGTGCATTAGCAGGGTACTGGATGAGAAGTGCAATAGGCAGGACTTGGATTGGTGCTCTTGGGGTATTGGTGTTGCAGGAGGTGGCATTTTAACCCACTGCACCACAGCATTGGTCCCCATTCTTGCTGGGAAAACCCTATAGTTTATGGCTCATGGTGTTTTAAGATTTTTATTGGAAAGGCAGATTTATTTTACTGGAAAGGCAGAGAACCATCTTCCATCTGCTGATTCACTCCGCCAATAACTGCAGTGGAGCCAGGAGCTTCCTGTGCTTTCCTAGGCCATTTGCAGGGAGCTGGATGGCAAGTGGAGCAGCCTGGACACGAACCAGTACCTGTATGGGATTCCAGTGCTTCCGGGAGCAGGATTTTAGCCACTGACCTAATCCCATTCACATTTAAATGAGTAACTAACTGTCCCTAGGGAGCATAAAGCTGTTGGAGACAAGGCATTAATCCTGACTGAATTGAGAGCTTGTGCATGGCTCTGTCGCTGGGAATAGTGGATTCGATTTTTGCTTTCATTCTGGTCTCCTGGTGTTATGTAATATTTTAGCATATACAAAAGGATGCTTCAAAGAATTAAAGCCAGTTTTTTTTTTCCTATAATACCCTTTTTGTGACCTTTTCAAAGACTTCCCTTGTATGCAATATTTCAGATTTTTATTTTTTTGCATCAAATAAACCTAGATTTAATTTAATTTAATTTAATTTAATTTAATTTAATTTAATTGTATTCCAACTGGAGTTTAATCAGGAGACTTGGACATGCTGGAATGTTAATCATGACTTTTAAAAGTCCCGACAGTCTAATGTGGTATAGTTGACACGCTGTATGCAGTTTGCAGCGTGCTGCTCCTACCTGACTCTGGAAGCATCTCCTTCCATGATACAGAAGTGAAGCTATGAGAATGGGAATATCTGAGATTCAGGAGAAAGTCCCTGGGCACTGCCTCCTGAAGGCAGATGCTGGCTTCCTTCCCCAGGTGGCTCCACATGCATCCGGGAAGCAGGTGTGTTCTGCTGTAACATAGGCACATCTCTGGGATGAGATCTGAGCTAGGAATGAGTTAATTTTCAGAAAGTAGGGAGCACAGCTAGGAAGCTGATTGTTTAGAAGTTTGTAATTAAGCAGGTGATTTATTTTCCAGGAGACAGAAAAGCCTAGTCGATTGACCTCCATCTCACTGGCCAGCTTGCACTGCTACCCCAGGGCCATGGCGTCTCTGTGTGCTCCTGGAGACGCCACCGTGGCCTTGGGGCCAGGGCTGGTTGATTTTTGTCTGTCTGCCTCTATGAAGAGTTTGCAGATTGAGTGAAAGTCTGTATCTTCCACTACAAATGTAATTTTGGGTTGGAGATGGAGAGGAACTTCACACTCTGGTATTAGAATCCAGCATATGGAAGTTTCTGGAGCGCAGAGCCCTTGGTCCTGTCCTTGTTTCTTATTCCCAAAATGGCCCCATGAAGCTGTTCTCAAAATAGTTGATTTGAGGTGTACTGCTCTTCATCACGCACGATCCTCTCTACACACAGAAACATAATTTGGTTTGTTATAAATAAATCACCCCCTTTCCCGAAGAACCTGTAGAAAACCTGAAAAGGCTATGAAAAGAAGCTCCCATTACACAGTTGAGTGATGTGTGTTGAGTGGTCTTGTGCTAACGACTGTGTGTTTATTCCCCTAACAGATGTGTGCATTGCAATGTTGTGTACTCGGATGTGGCTGCACTGAAGTCTCACATTCAAGGCTCTCACTGTGAAGTCTTCTACAAGTGTTCTATATGTCCAATGGCGTTCAAGTCTGCCCCAAGTACACACTCCCACGCTTACACACAGCACCCTGGCATCAAGATAGGAGAGCCGAAGTAAGTCGTGCCAACTCTGAATTCTCACCCTACGGCTTTACTAGCAAGGTAGAAGAGGCAGTCGGTCGGGGGAATAAAATGTAAGATGTTGAAAAGTGTGCAGGTCTGCCTGTATCAGTACTCTGTCAAGTATGGCCTGAAGCTTACCCAGACTTTGTGTTCTTTCCAGGTAAAATCTGTCCAAAAATGTCATCTTTATGCTTCTGTCATCAGTGAATATTTTATCTGTTTTTGTTTCTTTTCCTTTTTTTTTTTTCTTTAGGAAAAGGACTTATTTATTTGAAAGGCAGAGTGGCAGAGGGAGAGGGAGACTTTTGCTGGTTCACTCCCCAGAAGGCCCTAATAGCAGGGGCTGAGCCAGGCTGAAACCAGAAGCCAAGAATTCCCACCCTGAGTGGTAGGGACCCAAGTGCAAGGGCCATCATCTGCCACCTTCCTAGAGGCGTTAGAAGGAAGCTGGCTCAGAAGTGGAGCAACTGGGACCCAGACTGCACTTCTGATAAGGGATGCTAACATTGCAAGTGGCAGCCTAAACCGCTGCACCCTAGTCTTGTTCCTTTTCATGAGTTGATTTTAATGAACGAATTTCAGGAGAACCATAAACAAAACAAGAAACAAAACTAACCCTTCATGTTTGAATGTTCCCATAGTGTCTTTCTTATAGGGTATGCCTTCCTCATTCATATTTGCAGGAGGAGGTCTGTTGAAGACACTGGTTATGGAATGTAGCTTTATGGTTTTGTCCATTTGACTTTTGCTTTGTGGAGTCTTTAATCCTGAAGTGGTCCTTGAGTGCTCAGAATTTCTGCCTGCAGTAGGATCAGCTTGGCACAGAGGAAGGGGTGTGGCTGCTGGAGCTGGTCAGCGCTCTCCCACCCCTTCACCTCATGGCTGGAAATGAGCTGGTGCACTGAAAATGCAGTCTACACTTCCTGCTTGGGGAGGGTGGAGGGCCCTGCCAGGCTCTGCCCCTCATGGTGTCTCCTGGGCTGCATTGTTGCTCCTCATTACTTCCTTCCTGGGCTGTGGTGGCATGATGTCCCAGAGTATGAGGCCAGCATAGATGCCCTCATCTGTGGGTGGGTGTTTGCTTGGAAGTTCATTATCAGAGAACTATTCCAGGAAAGATATTCTGAAGCTTTTAATATGTATACTGTGTTGTATTTTGGCACTTAACAGTTGAAATGGTTTAATTATTTAACAATTGCAATGTTAGACTTTTTTTTTTTTAAGATTTATTTTGTCTGAAAGAGTTACAGAGAGAGAGGAAAGACACAGAGGGAGAAATCTTCCATTCACTGGTTCACTCCCCAAATGTGTTAACAGAGTGGGCTCCATGGAGGCCCAAACATGTAGGCCATCTTTGGCTGCTTTCCTGATGCATTACCAGGGAGATAACCAGGAGGTAGAGCAGGTGGGAATTGAACTTGTACTCACATGGCATGCTGGTAATCGCAGGCTGTGTGTGGCTTAACATGCTGTGCCACAGTGCTAGACCGAGCATTTAAAGTTTTTAAGGATTTATTTAGCTGAAAAAAGTCAGAGAGAGGGAAAAGGCAGGGAGGATGGGAGAGAGAGATTTTCTGTCCACTAATTCATTCCCCAAATGCTGTGGCAGGGATGGGCCAGGCCAAAGCCAGGAACTTTTTCTTGGCATCTCATTTGGGCCCTCACCTGCCAGCTTCCCAGGTACATTAGCAGGAAGTGGATCAGAAGCAGAGCTTCTTGGAACTTGAACTGTTGATAGCTTAGTGTGCACAGTCCTAGCACCAGCTCTGACATCTGGTTTTGAGTACATCAGGAGTGATCGTCTACCGCCAGCCCCTCTCTGACCTTGGAGGATCCATGGACCATGCAGATGGCGGCTTGGGGGATTGTGTTATCATCAGTGTTCATGACAGTACAACTGTAGTGTGCTCTGGCCACCTTTTTCTTCCTGTGAGTGTAGTTTTTTTTTTTTTTTTTTGTGGGGGGGTGGTTGTTGTTTTTGTTTGGGTTTTTACTAGACTAAAACTTCTTGTCTTAAATGTATATGAAATTTGGACCAGTCATTGTAGCTTGGAAAACAGAGCAGCAAATCGTTTAAACAAGCTGAAACCATATTTCTCAAATGTCAGTACCTTAGTAAGGAACAGATTTACTCTTTCCACAGTGTTAGCTATCTCTGGCACAAAGAAATCTGAAATTATTAAATGGAAAGTTCCAGAAATTAGTGCATGAGTTCCAAGTTACATGATGCTCTGAATGGTGGGATGAAACGCCTCTTGTTGCGTTGTCCCATTTGGGTTGTGAGTCCTCCCTCCAGAATTTTCATGCTGGGTGTACCACTTGCCTGCGTGTCACGACCAGTGATGATAGTTGCCACATCACCTTGGGGTGTCACAGTGTTTGCTTTCACGTGACCCTTTTTGTTTAAAGATGCTGAAGCCCTGGATCAGTGATGCTGGCAGGTTGGGAGTGCTGAGAGGGGCCACAGGTGGTTCATTTTAGGGGAGAAGGAAGGGAAAGAGGTCTTGACTTAAAAAAGGAAAACTTAATGACGAGGTGGCCAAGCCATGCTTGCGTTAAGAAGAAACTATGAAAAGAGGAAAAAGGTTCATTCTAGTGTTGCCATAGCATCTTCTACTTCAGAAGTCATGGCTGCCGTGTGTGGTTGTGGTTCTTAGTTCAGACGGAGCTGGCGCCTACAAGAGGTTTCTGGGCCATTGAGGTTTCTGGCCTCCTCCAGGGGTCACAGAAAAGTGTCACCTCCAAGGAAAAGGGGACCCTACAGGACACAGAGAAAAGTTCTTGCAGAATTTAATTTTTGTTTCTTATATTTTTGTTTATTTGAGAGAGACAGAAGAGCTCCCATATCTGTTCTCTCCTCAGAGACCCATGGCAGCTGGGGCTGGGCTAGGCTCAAGTCCTGGTTTTCCATTTGGCTGGTAGCAGGGCCTTAGGGACTTGAACCAGCACTGCTCCCTGGAGTGCATGTGTGCAGGAGGCAAACTGGAAGCAGAGACAAGATGCAAACCTAGGAGCCCCAGGATGGGGTGTTGGGATGTGGCTGTCTGAAACATCGTCTTTTAACTGCCAGGCCAAATACCTGTCCCTGTGGCAATATCCACTATCTCCTTACAGCTATTTTTTTTTAAACTACCTTAGTTTTTAATAAATGCAAGCCAAAAAAATATGTGTGAACTACTGTGTTTTAAACTGAAACAAATTTACAGTTAAAGTGGGAAGCAGAACTCTGAAGCTGAGGCATTCATTCTGAGTGATGGTTGTGGCTATGAGCCCTGCATGGCAGCTGTTGTGGGGTGCAAAGGGCTTCGCCTTGGCGCCAAGTGTGCCAGGCCCATGCTGTGATGCAGCAGAAGTCACTCATCCCTTGCCCTCTTCCCATCCAAGCCCCTGCTGGATCTTCCATGGTTTTACATGTGATTGAGAAGCTTCAGAGCTTCTCTCTGCTCCACATGAAAGCCTGGTCCTGAAACCTCCCAGCAGTATTTGGTTAAGGGGTAGTTACATAAATGACTTAGAATGACATAGTTGATTTGCATTCATTTTAAGCAATCAGGATTAAAACAACTCTCAAGCTTTTTTTTTCTTTTTTCCCTAAGAATTATTTCATTTGAAAGGCAGAATTACAACAAAGCGACACAAAAACAGGAAAGAGAGATATCTTCCATGCTCTGGTTCACTCTCCAAATGGCTACAGTGGCCAGAGCTGGGCTGTTCCAGAGCCACGAGCTTCTTCAGGGTCTCCCGTGTGGGTATAGAGCTCCAAGGACTTGGCCCATCCTTCACTGCTTTCCCAGGTGCATTCGCAGGGAACTGGTTTGGAAGTGGAGCATCCAGAACTCAACCTGGCTCCATATGGGATGTTGGTGCCACAGGTGAAGGCCAAGGCTTATCCTGTTACACCATGGTGCTGGCCTGCAATCCTCTTCTTTGAAGAACATATTGGGTGTCTGAAAATGCATTCCTATATCCCTTAGCCCTAGCACCTCCATTTGAGAAGCAGGACTCATTAATATCACACACATTTATATAGTGTTTACTGTATGCCTGCTAGTGTCATAAACTGGTTTTCTTTACCAGCTGTGAGCTGGTAGATGATCTAATGCAAATCTCTGTGTGTGTGAGCTGGCAGTAGCGTGAATACACTAACTCAGGGCTTGGGTGTGGCTGGAAGTGCAGAGTGAAGTTCTCTGTAGCTCTCTGGGTATGGTTGAGGCTGTTATAGGCATCCGTGTTGGAGCTTACAGACCTTTACTCAGGGGCCGGCATTAAATGTGTGTGGGTTAAGAGTCTGCTTGGGGTGCCCACATCTTGGTTCAGAGCACTTGGGGTTCAAGTCCTCGCTTGCTTTAGCTTCCAGCTTCTTGTATTTCTGTGTGTGGTGCGGAAGGCTGCTGATGAGGACTGAAGTCCCCAAGTGTCAGCTAGGAGGGAGAGCTGGCTGCCCTGTGTGGGCAAGGCCTAGCCCTGACTGTTGGCAGGAGTTTGAGGGAACTAAAACAGCAGATGGAAGGTCTCTCTGTTTTTCCCTCTCTGCCTTCAAATGAATGAAAAATAAATGTGTAAAAAAGACTTCTCTATATTCTATTCATGTTTCACAATAAGTTTAAGGGTAACACTGTGTTTTGGAGTGCTTTGATTGCTAAATCTGTATCTATGTAATATTTATTTTATTTTGTTGAAGTGTAGAGTTAGAGAAAGAGGTCTTTCATCGCTTGGTTCTCATCACAAATGGCCACAATGGGCCTGGCCAGGGCCATGCTACAGCCAAAAGCCAGGAGCTTCTTCCAGACCTCCATTTGCATGCACGGGCACAGACATTTAGGCTGTTTTCTGCTTTCTTTCTTGGCATATCAACAAGGAGCTGCATCAGAAGTGAAGCAGACAGGAATAGATCTGGCGCCCATATAGGAAGCCAGAGTCCTAGGCGGTGGCTTTAACTGATTTGCCACAACTCTGGCCCCATATTGCTATAGTCATGACCTCATTGCATGAGGGTTTTTATTTTTAGCTTTCTATTCTTCTGCCTCCTCCCTTCTCCTCTCCTCTCACCTCCCTCTTCTTCTTTCCTTCCCTCTCCTTTTCTTTTTTTCTTTTTTTAATTTTTTGACAATCCTTACATAGTTAATTAGGGCACAAAGGTTCAAGGGCTACAGGAAAGTGCATAAGACTATTATTTCCACATTCTCTTCTTTTTCTGTATCGGGTAAATGGAGAGGTAAAGGGAGAAGCCCCATCCAGCCTCCCATCCCATCCCAGGTTCCAGATGTGGGGCATGCTCCGAGGGTCCTGTTCAAGTGGTTTTGATAGTTCAACAGTTCTAAATTGCTGCCAGTCTCGCCATTCCAAGCATGATGAAGTTGCTGCAGAATCCACAGATTGACATAGTCGACCTTAGAGTCTCCGTTTGCCCAGTTTTTCACTGATTGTGCGGTCCACTCCTCCATATGAGCCTCTAAGGAGGCTCGGCTCTGGCATTTGCACTCCATGGCAGACCATGGAACCTGCACTTCTCTTCATGGTTGGGGTTCTGAGTCCGGCAGTTCGATTGAGGAGATCCCCAAAGAAGCTTTGTCTGAGGTGATCCCAGACCAAATTCTTGTGTGTTCTTGCCCGCATTGCACCAATCAGCTGGTGGTGGTTGCAGTTGCTGGGTTGGTTCTGTTTCCATCCCTGTCTTCCACTGGAAACAGTGGGTGTTGCAGTCCAGCCTGATTCTGCCCAGCACACAGTCAGTCCTCACATAAACCAGTAGGTGCTACTGTGACCTGTAATAACCCCCACCAGGCCTGCCTCCTGCCCTGGTTCCCATGCTTGCCTATACGTACAGCAGACTAGTCCAGTCTGTCCCACATTCCATTTAGCTCTCATACATGTCAATGGGCATTGAAACCTAGTTCAACCCAACTGGGCTTACTATTCAGTCCAGCCACATGCTGGTGGGTGCTGTTCTATCTAGCCAAGTCTGCCCCAGTCCTGGTTTTCATGCTATCTAGTGGGAGTGGTAACCCAAGAGGGAGGTGCCCACTATTTCCCTCCTAGGCCACTCCCACTCCTGGATCATGCACTTTCTGAATGGTTATGTAGTTTAAGTTGACAGATTAGCCCCCAGTGCCAGCATCTGCTATCTGATGCTGTGGCAAAGCCCAACCAACCTTCACCCACTCTGATTTATGCTTGCACCAGTAGGGACAGTCAACCAAGCCTGGCTCTTTCCTGATCTGGCTCACATGATGCCCACAGGTGTTGTAGCCCTGCATGGTCTGGTCTGCCCCCATCCCAACTCATGCTCGCTAATGGGTGAGGTGTTCCAGCAGGGGGCCCTTCATATTCCCCCTATCAGCTTTACCACCTCCCTCCCTGGTTCCTACTAGTGCCGCGTCCCAGTCTGGCATGGCCCGCCACACCTTAGCGTTTGCTAGTGGGTGCTGTAGCCTAGCCCGGCCCGGCCCACCCCCAAATCCAGCTAGTGAGGGTTACAGTCTAGCCAGTCCCACGTGTACCCTGTCCCAGCTGTAATGTGTGTTGGTGTGTGTTGCAACCATTCCCCTCTCCTTTTCTCCCCTCTTCTTGTTCTCTCTCTCTGTTCCTGCTGCCTCAACTTGTTCATAGCACAGTTCTACCAGTCTTTTAAGCTTGAGCATAGCATTAGGTCCAGACTGTCCCGGTTTGACTTTCAAAGCCCTTCCCAACTCTATGCCTCTTTCTTCCTGCTTTAGCCTGCATCCTTGTGAGCGCAGCCACACAGTGGTCCCTGCCATTCCCTGGCATGCAGTGCCCTTTCTAACTCTGACTCCTGCGGGTTGGTTGTGCCCCATCTTGAATGCCTGTGGCTTTTCTGTTATCCTTGGGGGGACCTTGTTTTTGTGCTTATGCCCTAGCAACCCCTTTTGTGAGGGTCCTGGCACCTTACTTGGCCTCCCCAGCCCTGTTTTCAACATAAGCACCTGGCTGAGAGTCTGCGTCCTGTGACCTGCCAGGAACCTGGTGTTAATCCTGATGCATGCACTTTGGAAATTTCATTCTGATTTTTCCAGCTGCTGAGACAGGGTTGTTTTCTTGCTTGTTGAGGTCCTGGCTGGGTGTACATATAGGGTCTAGTGGGTTGTCTGTCCTCACTATGCTTCTGTCTTCAGCAGCTGTCCAACTCCCTGTCCGGGAGAGAACACAGGCTTCTCATCCCCGGGGGCCGCTCCCTGGTCTGTTGTGGGACAGGAGCTCCTAATGTAGCTGCTTTAGACCTGATGCTGGGTTTCTCTTGAGGTGTGTCAGCCAGGGTGTGAGCAGGAACCACCTGCCTTACTCTTAAGTGGTGATGCTGACCTTTGCCACTGATCGAGCTTCCGTTTCCCTTTCCTGTTCATGCATATTTGCCGGGCAGGTGACCTGACATTGTAACCCTTGCTCGTGTTAAAGAGTGATGTCCCAGTCAACAGATCATCTCCTGCTGTACCCTTTTTCTGTTACTTAAACAGAATTACTATTTTATTGGTTTAAAGGGCAGAAAGAGCTCCCCAATTGCCTGCAGTAGCCAGGGGCTCTATCCAGATCTGCCATGGGGGGGTGGGGTGGGCAAGGCCCCAACGACCTGGGTCTCCCAGGTGCTCATGGAAAGGATTCTGGAATCCGGGGCAGAGCTCCGACGTGACCTCGGGCCCTCTGCCATGGTGTGTGGGCATCCCGAGGGAACACCTGCCCCTGTTCTGTTATTGAGTCAAGAGAACACAGCAAAGTCAACAGAAACGCTCCAACTGAATTACAGGAGCTGGGCATTTTTCATGAAATAGTTATTTCTGGCAATGGGAGAATGTAACCTCGGGGGTTCTGTTGTTGGCCCAGCTGATAAATGTCAGTTCTCTCCTTGGGACTTACCTTTTTATTATTACATGCTAATTATAGCAAAGCCAGGAAATACAGATAAACAAAAACAATACAAAGGGGAAAATAAGTACACACACACACACTTTTGCCTAGCAGCGATGACTGGTACATGCTTTTTGTTTCTCTTCTGTGCCCTTTAAAAAATGTGCTCTTGTCATAAATCTTGTTTTCTTACCTGTTTCAATTTCCATGGAGATCTCACCAAGCTGTTGGTGTAGTCTGCAGTCACGTTACCTCCCTGCATGCCATCTCCATGCCCTTAAAGTGCTGGCAGCTGCGGGGTGAGCCACAGCTCTGAGCTGTTTCAGAATCAAGCAGAGGAGCATCCATGTGGTGGTGCAGCCCGGGTTGTGAGCAATGGCCTGGACTGGAGATCTCAGAAGGGCCTCCTGCCTGCGGCAGTGCAGTTACTTTTGTATTCCAGGGAGGTGGGCAGCCTGGGAAGCCCAGGGAAGTGTTTTGTAAGTCCTGAGTGGGAAGAGAAACAAAGCTAAAATTTGGCATTTTGGGGCAGAGCATCGCATAATGAGACTTGGAGACTGTGTGAGAAGTGCTTTGGGGAATACTCGGAGAGGGGCGTTCGGTTGAGAGGACTGTTTCTGGTCCAGCTTCTTGTGAATGCATTCCCGAAGGCTGCAGATAACGGCTCAAATACTGGGTCCCTGTCACCCTCGTGGGGGATCTGGCAGTGGATTGGGGCTCCTGGCTTTGGCCTGGCCTAGCCCTGGCTGTCCGCAATTTGGGGAAGTGAACCAGCAGGTGAAGATAATGTACTCTCTCTGCCTGTCTCTGTCTGTTGCTCTGCTTTTCAAATAAAGAAAATACATAAACATTTTTTTAAAAGGAGACCTGGAGTAGAAAGACGAGTGGTAGGACTTCATTTCTTTAACTTTGTGGGAGGAAAGGCAAGTAAAGCCGGTGCTTGTCTTTGTTGTCGCTGACCTTGGCCTTCAGCAATCCCTTTTTGATCTTTCTCTCGGTTGCCCCAGGGCCAGAATGACCTGAGTTGGGATTTTGGGACACTTCTTGAGGTCAGAGCCATTCCCAGTGTGAGGCAAAGGCATTCGGGAAGAGTCCTTCCCTTGAGCCACCACCCCACCCCCTTGTGCCACCCCCTTCCCCAGTGTCAGAGGGGGCTGTGCGTGGGTTGGAAGGATTGTCTGCTCTTAAAGAACACCCAAGAAGAGAGATTGGGATGCTCTTGCTCTGTTAAAGTCACCCGCTGGTGAAGACTGTGCAAACCTGTGTTACTGGTAGATTGGCAAGTCATCAAGTGATCTTTCACTTAGATCTCCAAGCACCTGTTAGCGTCTTGCCTCGAGCGTTAAGAACAGCCTACCTTCGAGCATTGCCTGACGCCTGCGCGAGTTTAACTGTTCTCTTTATTGTGTTTGTGTGTTCCCGTTGTGCTCTGCCTCCTAAGCTCTTCAGGTGTGAAGGGGCAGTGCCTTCGGCTGCAGAGATGAGGCTCACTGACGTTGTTTCGCTACGCTTCTTCTGTTCTAGAATAATCTATAAGTGTTCCATGTGCGACACTGTGTTCACCCTGCAAACCTTGCTGTATCGCCACTTTGACCAACACATTGAGAACCAGAAGGTGTCTGTTTTCAAGTGTCCAGACTGTTCTCTTTTGTATGCACAGAAGCAGCTTATGATGGACCATATCAAGGTGTGTGCACATCTGTCCTGTCCTTTGAATGAACTTGCCGGCTAGGTCGTGGGTCCTGATTCGGGGTGGAGCTGCAGGGGAGGGGTGCATGCTGGCTGTGGTCAGTTAGCAGCATTCCTGCTGTCACCTGCTGTGCTGGTGGGTTCACTGGATGCCAGGTGCTTCTTACTCAGGAGTCTGTTCTACCTACCACAGAAGCAAGTGCATGCCTTAAATCTAAAGGAGCAATAAAGCGGCAGGGTTCTTTTTTCCACATAATGAAAATGATGACTGAAGTGATTGTTCTGGGAACTCTGTGTTGTGTGGGATTTAGAAACTGACACGGGCTCTGATGAACTGTGTTAATTCCTACATAGATTGGTATACTTAGAAAATGAAGCTTTTTTCCTTTGAAATTATGGGAATTTTTACGTTTGCATTATTGTTGAAGTCCCTGGATCTTTTCATCTATTCAAAATGCATGTAAACGGACTTAGAAGTAGTAAGTGCTAGAAGGAAGTGTGGTACCCGGGTTAAGAAAGTGAGTCAGTGTTCAGTTTGGACTCTAGCCTCAAGTGGTAAAAAAAACAAACAAAAAAAAGGCACCAGAATCCCCATAATAATTTTTTTTTAAAGATTTATTTATTTTTATTGGAAAGGCAGATATACAGAAAGAAGAGAGAGAGAGAGAGAGAGAGGAAGATCTTCCATCCATTGATTTACTCCCCAAGCAGTCATGAGGGCCAGAGCTGTGTTGATCCGGCGCCAGGAGCCAGGACCTTCCTCCAGGTCTCCCAAGCGGGCGCAGGGTCCCAAGGCTTTGGGCCATCTTTAGCTGTTTTCCTAGGCACAAGCAGGCAGCTGGATGGGAAGCAGAGCCACAGGGATTAGAACCAGCACCCATATGGGATCCTGGTGCGTTCAAGGTGAGGACTTTAGCTGTGAGGTTACTGTGCTAGGTCCCCACATAAGAATTTTTTAAGCTTGCGGCCAGTGTTTAGTCCTAGTTTGCTAACTGCCCACTGAGATAAGTGAAACAGTGTTATTCCTTGTGCAATGAAATGACAGCCGATGTCTTTCCGAGATTGAAATGACTCATTCTTTATAAAGAGTGAAACAAGAGACCCACTATTAATGTGTACTCACCTTCTTTCTCAGGTTTTCTCTCTCTTCTTTTTTTTTTAATTGGAAAAGTAGATTTACAGAAAGAAGGAGAGACACAGAGAAAGATCTTCCATCTGCTGGTTCAATCCCTAAGTGGCTACAACAGCCAGAGCTGAGCCGATGTGAACCGAGGAGCCAGGAGCTTCTTCTGGTCTCCCACGCAGGTTTAGGGTCCCAAGGCTTTGGGCCATTCTTGAGTGCCTTCCCAGGCCACAAGCAGGGAGCTGGATGGGAAGTGGGGCCATGAATCGGTGTTCATATGGGATCCCAGCACATGCAAGGCAAGGACTTTAGCTGCTAGACTACCATGCCAGGCCCAGGTTTTCTCTTTTTAAAATGCATTATGCAAAGAAGAAATGGTGGGATTGGCTGAAACAGCAAATAAAGCATTTGAATTATCCTCATCTGGTCTCAGCTAAATGAATGGATTATGAATCTTTTAGATTGACTCTTGGGAGCACACAGAATTCACAATTCACACAGAGTAATTACCTTCTGCAAATGACCTTGCTGACACCCTGAGTCACCTTATGGACAGGGTGGCCATGCCTGTGGCTGGGGTGGGTAAACTGCTTGAAATGTGTCCATCGGCCTCCCTTAAAGATCAGAAAAATCCTACTCTCATATATTAAAACACTATAGCCAAAATTATTAAATCATTTTAACAGTGTTTTTGTAGTGAACAATCAGGATGAACTAAAAAACTGCTAGTAAAAAATGTGTGGCTCTTGGAATTAGACCAGAATGTGGGAACATGCTGTCTGGAGGCCAGCTAGAGAAAGAAAAAAGTTGCTTCTGAAGAGGCTTTCTGCAGGCTGCTGGCTTTTTGCAACTCATCTGCTAGCGAGGAATTTGGAGGAGTACATGGTTCCAAGAAATGCCAAGGCCACGGGGAGGAAATGTTTGTTATTCACCTGAGCCCTCAGCAGACTGAGCCTACAGAAACAGGGGGTGACAGTGAGTGCTCACTTACATTCTCGTGTCCAGAGTCTCCTGTGTGCTGTAAGATACTCCTCTGCAGTTTGGTGTTGGGAGCTTTAGGGGAACTCTGCTCCAGGCTTTCCTGTTTGGAGAGAACGTGTGTAGAGCTCTTGTCCCTGACTTGGTGGCCTTGTGCTGTGCTGTGCTGTGCTGGCTTTCATGAGGGACACTGAGGGCAGAGCGAAGCATCCATGGCACTCACAGGTAGATTTTATTTGCCAGTCCGGACAAGGGCACAGGCTTACTTCAAAGGCATTTTGTATCACTTGTTATGCTACAGTTACTCAGATTTTTATTATCTAGGCAGCTAAGAAAAATGGATTATCCTGGAAGAACCAAGTGGCGTTTCTTTTATTAAAAATCTTATTTTCTTCCCTTGTTTTTGTTTATGTATGTTTTGAAATTCTCATTTTAGCATCCCTTCCATCACCCTCTTTTGTCTTGGTATGTGTGTTTTCTTTCCTATAATTTCTTTATGTTCTAGGGCTATCTCATAAAAGAATACTTGAGCACTCCACCTTTCTCATTGCTTTCTCAGTAAAAATGCCTCTGCCTAGAAACTGTGGAAGTTTAGGAGGTCTGGGGTTTTCCTGTCTTTGAATTTTCAATGGTCACAAATGCAAGGGCTCAGCCTTTATTTTAAGGAATGTCATGAAGACACTGAAGCTTTCTTCCTGGGCTGGTATAAAGCAGCAGCCCGCTGCGTGGGGTCTCCATGGGGCACACCTTGCCCCCGATTATCTCTCTTCAAAACCGCATGTGAAGACCTTCACCCCAGCCGCCTTTGTGGTCTGCTTCTTGTGTAGGCCTTGCTGCCTGTGCTAATGGGGAAATCTCGGAGCCTTCTGTGCCGTGTGGGGAAGCAGAATGGTACTGCAGGAGGAGGGTTAATTCTTGGCGCTGGCTGGAGAAGGCCTCACAGTGACAGTCTGCAGGAGCATGTGCTTGTGTGACAGCTTCTGCCCAGAGCACTGTGGACGTGACGCCTGGTCTGAGGGGAGGGTGCGGAAGGGAAGCCTGAGTCCAGATCAGAGCATGAACCACAGGAGCCCAGGAAGTTCCTCCAGGAAGGTATTGGGCAGGTGTCTGCATTCAGAGGCCAGTCCAGATTGCGTATTGGGTCACAAACTGACTTGGTTCTTTTTGGGGGACTCTGTGCTTTCAAAACAAAAAACCAAAGCTTGCTGGTCTTTAGAAAACAATGGCACTAATTTTGTCCCTCTCGGGTTTGAACTCCTGTGAGTTTAAGTTGAAGGTGGCTGTTACAGCAAAGTAGTTTACCAAGACCTTTTGAGTATCTGTTGTTTCCAAGTTTATGTCTGGGAACTATTTGTACTAAGTTATAGATCCCAGTGGATCATGGAGAGATAAAAAATTGCTTCCCCAAATCTGAAGTATTACAAGTGTTTCAAGTATGGGACAGTGTTAACCATGAAGGAGGAGGGTTTGCTCGCATACACTGGTGTTAGATGTGGGTTCAAGTCCAGAACTAAGGGCCCTGAATACTTTAGTGATCTGTCAGCTTGTTTGAGGTGTCTCTGGGCAGAAAAGAAAGTGTTTCCTAGAACAGATCTGCCATGGAGGGGACTCACTCTGGGACATGGTTGGAGGGTACAGGAGCAGGACTAATGTGTATTCAACATAGAGAATTTCCATTAAAGAATTTTATATTGACCCAAATATGTAATTTTAAAATTACTTGAAATTAGAAGACAATCACAATTTTCCTGTCTTTCTGATAAAGTGCACAATAGTGTGAGTTTGGGTGTGTATTGAACAGTGTGTCTGAATGAATGTAAAACCCAGCTGCAATGTCACTAAGGACTGGCAGAGTCCATCCACTTGTGCTTCCTGCTCTGGGTGTCATTTGTGACCTGCTTTTCTTTTCTTTTCTTTTCTTTTCATAATACAGTCTATGCACGGAACTTTGAAAAGCATCGAAGGACCTCCAAACCTGGGTATAAACTTGCCTTTCAGCATCAAGCCTACAACTCCGAATTCAGCAAATCAGAGCAAAGACGATGCCAAATCCATGAACGGGAAAGAGAAATTAGAAAAGAAGTCTCCATCGCCAGTGAAAAAGTCAGTGGAACCCAAGAAAGTGGCCAACCCTGGGTGGACGTGCTGGGAGTGTGACCGGCTGTTCACACAGAGGGACGTGTACATTTCCCACGTGAGGAAGGAGCACGGGAAGGTGAGTGACCAGCCCCGGAGCTGTGGCTCTCTCAGGAACCAGTACCTGTGCTCCGCCTCTTCCTCTGTAAAAACAGGCATTCCCACATCCTTGGGCTCTTGCGCTGCGGTTCAGTTGATAGTCACCTTCACCCGTGTGCCCCTGCCCTATGTCAGTCATGCACCACGTCTGTGTTTAACTGATGACACTGGGCCACCAGGGACTTACCCTGTGACAAATAGCAAGAGAGGAGGAGAGAACTATAGGTAGCCTTGCCGTGAACTTGGTGGGGAAGAGGACTATTGCCCTTGGACTTAACGGGGGAACCAAGTCACAAAGTGTGTGTTTTTTCCTTTCAAAACACCGGTCATTAGACCTAATGGAAGTAGCCAGGCAGTTTCTCTATAATATCTGTTACCATGTTAATCACAACATGAGGCCTTACTCAGCTTTTCTAGAGGTCTCAAAGTTGATTCTGTTGAGCATCCAGAAAGAATCTGCATTTTCATTTAGTTGATTGTTAAATAATTTGACCGTGTGTGTGTTTGTGTGTGTATGTATGTAAAATTATTTGAAAGGCCGAGTTAGAGAGAGTAAAACACAGAGACAAATAGATAAGACAGAGAGAAAGACCTTTAGTGGCCCAGGCTGGGCCAGGCTGAGGTCTGGAGCCTAGAACTCCCACGTGGATCGGAAGTGAACAGCTAGAACTTGAATTGCTGTTCATACAGGATTCAGGCACTGCAGGGGGAGACATAATCTGCTCTGCCATAATGTTTGATCCATTAATCTTTCATCCTATGCAGTCTTTCCATTCCATTTTATTTCTTTAACACACTGTCAGTTTGTTAGAAATATTGGGTTGTTTATCCCCTGACTTGATCCTCATGTTATTGCATCTGCTTCTTTTGGACATTAAACTTTCTCCTCTGTGCCCTGTAATTCATAGAAGTTGGGTTGAGATTCAGCGTGAATTTCGTAGATACTAACACATTACAAATGCTGTAGTCTTTATGTATCACCTCCCAAAGGTCCATTTCATCCCATCTTAGTGATACTAAGGCTGATCAGTTGATTCAGACCTGTGATGTTTTCAAAGACAGCTATCTTGTTCCTTGAACAAAAGTCGATAGAACAGTGTTCACTTCTGCAGCACATATGCAAAAGCCAATAGAAGAAACTAATTTTGCTTTTGTTTACATGGAGGATGTAGGAGTAGGTTTGTGGTGAATGTATTCTAGATCTTTTGAAAACTTTGTGTGTTTTGAGCCATACTATAGAGCCACATTTATTTATACTGTTTGAGTTGCTCATGAAGCTAACCTGCTTTCCCTTACCAACATCCAGATGTATCAACTTGTTTTGGGCATTGATCATAGTGCTCACATACTGGGAAAAGGAGTCGCAGCATGCACTTGTCTCTTCTGGCACACCCCTGATCGTGCCATCTCATTTGAGACCTGCCACTAGCATCTTCAGATATTTGTTACAACTGAAGGGTGGTTCTCAAGGAGCAGTATCACATGGTTCTTCCTTACTATAACTTTCTTGTAATATTTCAGAATTCTCTGTGTGTTTTGAGCTACCTTTATCATGCACATTTGATAGAGACTGTAAGTTGGAGACAGTGCCAATAAGTTGACAATAAAATTTGCACTCACTGTTTGCACAGAGCCCGCTCCAGTCAGAACACATGCATGCATGTGAGCGTGCACTTGCCCTGTCAGTTGGTGCCATTTGCCAGAGAGATGTTTGACATAGCAGGATGTTAGGTCTCCCTTGGAAGGAGCTGAGGAATGAGACCCATTGTATTAAATTACAGTTTTCATTCTGCTCACTTAGCCTCCCAAGCGTGCCGGGGGGCACTGGAGGAGGGGAGGGAGGGTGTGTGTAAGAGCTGATGAAGGAGTGAGAAGGCAGTGCTGTTGCTGGGTCAGGCCCTCCACGGCAGGCAGTCCCTGCGGCCTGCCCAGGATCTGCTGCCACACCCTCCCCCTCCCTCCTGGCAGAACATCTGTCTCCTCTGTTTCAAAGCCAGGCTTCAGTCTTGGCTCTGTCCTCCCTTGCCCTCCCTCCAGGAGCCCAGCTAGCATTGTGCTGTGCTACCTGCTGCCCTCTGACCTTTGTGTCAGCTCTGGCCTTGTTGCTGACCTGGCTCTTTTGGACCCCCTGCTTATTGAGTCCCTTGGACATGTTTCTGCCTTGACTGCAATTTACACCACCACTGTGTTTTGCATGACTGGCAGTTCTTTCTAGATGTGTGTTGTGTCCTAACACTGAGTACCATTCCATCCTGGTTTCCCGCTATCATCAGGACACACAGGGTTTCTGTCCTTGAAAGGCTGAAGTCTATCTCTGAGAATCTCAACCACCGCTGTGGCAGCTTCCCCTCTCAGATCCAGGCCAGGTCTGTGGCTCCATGGCTCCAGCTTTGGTCTCTTGCCTCAGTTCAAGTCTGCAAAACCCAACTTCTTGTTATGCATTTTCAGTTTTCACCTAGCTCACAGACACTTTGATTTAAACCTGCCCAATAAGGAACATCAGTTGCCTCCTTTCCTTGTCCACTGTTTCCTGGTATTTCCACCATTCTTGGAAAACCCTGGTGTCCAGATTCACTTGGTGCTGTCTTCCTGCTGCTCGGCTCCCTGGTCCCCAGCCAGCCAATCAGTACTGACTAGTCCAACCAGCTGGCTTACCTTCACAGCTTTAGCTTTCTTCTAGGGAGCTGTGCCTACATAATTGTACTCACCATAGTCAGGGCGTTTCCTTTATTCTTTTTTAAAAGATTTATTTATTGAAAAAGCGTTATGGGGGGGAGGCGGGAATCTTCCATTTGCATATTCACTCCCTAAATGGCTGCAATGGCCAGGGCTGGGCCAGGCCAAATCCACGAGCCAGGAGCTTCTTCCGCTTTTCCCACATGGCTGCAGTGGCCCATGCACTTAGGCTATCCTTAGCTGCTTTCCCAGGTGCATTAGCAGGGAAGTGGATCAGAATTGAGGCAACTAGGACTTCATCTAGCATCCACATGGGTTGTTAGCATCACAGGCAGCAGTTTCACTCATTGTGCCACAATGCTGGCCCCCAAGAGTTCTCTGAAGTACAGAAGTCCTGAAAAAGTTGGTGGAAAATGCATACCATAAAAAACTGAATAGATTTCAGTTTGTTTTACATTAAACTCACCTGTAATTCCATCTTCTACAAAATTTCTCACCTGCCCTTGTCCAGATGTGATTGCATTGTTCCCTTGCTGCAGGTACGAGGTTCTCAATGCTGTCAGTCAGCTCCAGCTTTGAGATGTAGCTTCTCAGGGTCATTCATTGTACCGCCCCCTTTGGCTGGACGTCTGCTCACACAGTGCTCCCTGCATGATTGAGGACACCTTCAGTATCCACAGTGCTGTTTGCTTATTTGCCCTCTGTGGCTTGCCAAGCTGTAGTGTTCTGCTGGTTCCATGGAGCATTCCTCTCTTGACCGCTTGCTCTCAGTGCTTTAGATCTTACATATCCCCGCATTTGGAAAGCCTTCCTTAGGCCTTTAAGACTGAATGGGTCCTATACCTGCATGCTTCCATGGCAATACATCCTTTCCTTTTTGGCACGCCACTCTAGACTGGATGACCCTAACCCCTTGGTCCCATTAGACTATGCTTTCTGTCTGTCTTCAGTTTCCTTCCCTGAAGTCTTTTGGAAGCTCCTCTACCAACCTATAAATGCTGAAAAATATTTCAGGACAGATGTTGGGTGTGGTGGGCAAAGTTACTGCCTCTAATCCTAGCATTTCAAATGGATACTGGTTCTTGTCCAGATGTTGCACCTCCCATCCAGCTTCTTCCTAATGCATCTAGGAAAGCAATGGAAGAGGGGCCAAGAACATGGGCTCCTGCTCCAACTGGGAAAAAAGTTCCTTGCTCCTGACTTTGATCTGACCCAGCCTTGGTTGTTGAAGCTTTTAGGGGGAGTAAGCCAGCAGATGAAAGATCTCTCTGTCTCTTCCTCTTTCTTTCTCTGTAATTCTGTCTCTCAAATAAATAAAATAAACCTTAAAAAAAAAGAAGAAGAAAAACAGTTCTTATAAGACTGGTGAGTTGTGGTTTTCAAGGCATCTAAGCCTCCTTAGCATTGCCTTCTCCGTTAGCATGGGAGCCACCTGTGCTTCAGTAGCCCCAAGCATCTTCTGCCAGGAGATACCTAGAACTCTAAGTGGGATGGAACTCGGCCTTCCATGCTGGGGCAGGTGGTTAAGATGAGATGCAAGTGTGAAGTATGCTGTGCAGACACAAAGGATTCAAAATTGCACTTGGCTCAGGGCCTCAGGAGAGCATACTGGTTCTGTCCGCCAGGTGGGGGGTTCCTGGGGAGCTGGGTTTCTTGGGTTGCTCAGTCTGAGACCACTGCTTTTAGAGTCAGCCCAGCATGTTTGGAGCCAGTAATGGAGGGTTTCTGGCTCCCAGCAGCCATGCAAAGGGTGAACTAGAAGGTGGCAGACTTCATTCTCATTTTCTCTCTCTCAGAAACATTAAAAAAAAATGTAAAATGAAACCATGTTCACTTTGAGTGGCTTTAAATTTTTTTTCAATAATGTGTTGTAATCTGTTATCAAGTAAAAAAATTGTTTTAAAAATGTAACAGATATTTAGTGTGTATTTACATTGAGCACTTTCTGAAGTTGGTGTTATCTTTTAGTCGAGCTAGGCTCCCACTCTTGTCTTCCAAGGTAAGCCCTGTGAGGCAAGTCCTCCCTGTGCCTTCTTACTGTGGTGTCTGCGGCTTTGGGCACCGCGCCTTGAGGTGATCTCAGCTGCCACTGACTGCAGCAGTTTACTTTGGTTTACACAAATGGGAATGGGGCCTTAGGTTCATTAAATATGTATACAGGTGGAAGTCAAAATTCAGGCATTTCAGCAGTTTCCTCATCACAGAAATCCTTTCCCTGTCACGGTCTGTGTTCTCAACCATAAAATTGGGAGGATGGGACCAGCTTTGTGGCCTGCTTGAGCAACAGTTCAAGTCCTGACTCAA